TCATAAATTCACGAAACATATATATATATATATATAGCATCGCGTTCCCAGCTCAATTGGTAGAGCATCCATTTTGGCAATATAAGTCCCCTCTGGGCTGGGGTTCGAATCCACCCCAGGCGACTGTGCTATATGGGGTGACACTCAAGTGGTTAGGCTTGTGGGTCCAATTCAAATCGGACGGTTTGCGAGCCGAGCGTGGTTGGCGGTTCCTATAAAAAATATTTATATTTTAATTTTTAAAAACTAAAGTACATCTTTAATGAATAGATAGTGTAGGCGTTAAATAAGTAAATACATGAGAAATGAGTGGTAATTATGTAAATCTTCATTTCAAACACAATCACAGCAAATTATTTCTCATGTCAAAATGCATCAAATTATTGAATTAAGTATAAATAAATAAATATGTATTGGTACTATTGTTTTAAATTATTATTATAATTTTAAACACCTCTTCCTAAATTAAGGGTGTAAATGCGTCTAGTCGAGCCCGAGCCACCCTCGACTTGAGTTTGAGCTTGATTAATTTTACCTAATTAGAACTCTAGCTCGAGTTTAAGTCTACTAATTCGAGGTTGCTAAAGCTTCTTTATTATAAAAGAGAAAAAAACTAGTTTAAGGTAGTGTTATAATAAAATGATAAATAGTATAACAAGAAATAATAAGAAATCACTGAACACAAAATATAATATACTATTTTTAATATTTTTAAAACCTTAAAGATAAAATCTTCTCATTTAATAATATTATTTATATTAATATTTTATTAAAATGAGTTAACTTACAATCTAACGAGTTGAATCGGTGCTAGCTTAACCTTAACTTTTTAGTTCATCTAACTAAATTCAAGAGCCATGTTGAGTCAACTCAAGAGTCTAGTTGACTCACTTACACCCCTATCCAAATCCCTTGAGCAGCTGCGATGACGTCATCCACTCTCTCATTCTCACTTGCCAATGGCTCGTTCCAAAAGCCTATAAAGATCACTAACGCCGCCATCTCTCTGTTCCCCTAACATCCACTCCTTCCACAAAAATGGCTACCTTAGACAACCAACAGACCTGGCTTCTCCCAGAAAACAGCACTGACTGCTCCCTGGGCCTCTGCACCATCTCGTGCCCTCAATGGTGCTACGATCTCTTCACTCCCCCTCCCCCCTTTTCCCTCTCCACCAACTTCAAAGACCGCACAACCGCCTTCTCCCCTCTCTTCATCGCCATCATCGGCATCCTCGCTACTGTCCTCCTCCTCTTCACCTACTACACACTTGTCACCAAGCTCTGCGGTTCCTTATGGTTCCAGACAAATAACTCCCACCACCACCCCAACCCTAACGGCAACCATGAAGAAGAAGAAGAAGAAGAAACCGACGGAGAGTACTATCACCACGAAAGCTGGCATCTTTCTTCTTCAAACGGGCTCGATGAGGCGTTCATCAGAAAGATCACAGTTTGCAGGTACAGGAAAGCGGAAGGGCTCGTGGAGGGCACGGAATGCTCTGTTTGTCTGTCAGAGTTCATAGAAGATGAAAGCCTTCGTCTTCTTCCTAAATGCTGCCATGCCTTTCATCTTCAGTGCATTGATACATGGCTAAAGTCTCACTCCAACTGCCCGCTCTGCCGAGTTAATATTCAGCCGCAGAGTCAAGTTTCAGAGGAGGATTTCAGGGGAGAGAACAGAGCGGCTTCGGATGCAGAACATGAACTTGATGCGGTTGTTATTGATATAGAAGATTTAGATATGGGGAACGAAGGGAGTATGGTGAAGGAATTTGAAGTGATAGAGATGGAAAAGGATCGCCATGGGGTTGTGCTCGGTGGGTCGGCGAGGTGCGGCAAAGGAGAACGTGGGAAGGGGAGAGGAGGAAGAAGCAGAGGTTTGCATTGTGTTATGAGCCCAATTCGCATGAAGAGATCTCGAAGTTGGTTGGCGAGGCAGGGAAGGGGAAGGGGAAGGGGAAGGGGAAGGGGGAGGGGATTGTTTCTTCCAGGTTGGGGAATGGGTGCCAAAATTTGTTAGGTTTAATCACATGTTTATCTTCTGCTCGTATAGAAGAAATACTGCACCATTTTGATTAAAGAATATTGTTAAAGTACTGTGACATCCTGTGTGATTTATCTTTAGTAGTTAATTTTGAGAAATAAAATGTGCTTATTTCTATTCTTTTGTTTTATTTGCTTTATTCGGAAGTGGTTATGGAATTCAAAGTTGGGATTATGAATTAACGGGAAAAAAAATCTTATTTTTAAATTAAAAAGCTTAATAAGCCGCCCTATAACATATATGATGTTCAAACATTGGTATTTCTATACAAATTAGCTTTTTTTTTTTATTTTTTCTTTGAATTCTGTTTATCAATGAGCTAGAACTGGGTTTGTGCATATTTACGTTTAGGGAGTGTTTGGCGGCAAGGAGTATTTAATAAATCTGTAAATCATATATTTGTTAAATCCACATCCTGGACCGATTTAACTTGAATCAAAGGCTATATTTGGACTTTAAATCTGAAATTTCATAAATTCACGAAACTTGTGTATTTTTTATGTTTGAGTGAATTTCATAAATCACAGTAAATCATGTTAATAGGAGCTATCAAATACCCGATTTTGATACAGGGCGCTCTCAATAAACGTAAACCATTTTTTTTCTTTGGAGGAATTTCTCAGGAGGATTGAAAAAGATGGCTCAACCACCAAGTTTATGCTCAAAAACTGTGAGAGAAATTGGAGTATGAGATGACATGAAATGTGGACTGCACTGCTTACCAGAATAAGACAAATGAAGCACCAGATGGAAGCTTTAGCTGTTGAGGGTCGAAATCAAAGAGATGGGAGGTCGGATGCATGTTGGGATTTCGTAGAACCTTGTGGCGCTTGATGGGCATACTTGCTAGCTTTTTTGGTAACGAGTCCCAATCTTTTTTTCATTATTATGTGCATTGGGTAGAAAGTCGAATTTTCTTAGCTCCAAATATTGTAGTAGGATGTTATAGTGCCTGTATGCATCAGAATTACCGGCACGAATCTCTAAGATAACGAAAAACTTATAATACAAAACTTTTATTTGAGGTAAGCAATTCACCGACAATTCACCGCCAAACATGAGAAGTCGTGTCTGTAAATTTGGGATGGGTCAAAGCACCGGAGATGATTCCCCACTCGGTAGCGATAAGATTCGTCGAGCTTGAGGCTCAAATTATCGCAACAGTGAGTCTCATCGGATATCCCGCATATGCAGCGAAAAGATCTGCCCAATACATTGCGAGAGGGGAGATCCGGCCGAAGCGACGAACAGGCTAGACAGATGCGAAACAAATCCTGTAAGACCGGAGTCAAACAACAAATGAGGTACAACTCACTCGATGAATTAACCCATCAGTCGACTGACTGAACCAACAAGTCTCACAGAGCCTATCACCCAGACCTCTTGACAGAAAGAATGATCGTATTCAGATCAACTGATTACACCCTCTTGATATAGGCAGATTTCAGACTACCGACCAATATGATCGGTCACCAACCGGCCAACAACATTTACTTAAACTTATAAATCGTTGTAAACTATTATTTTTTATCAATATTATAACGAACATTGATTCAAATTATACGCATTAATTCTATCAATGACGATTGTCATAACGGTGCTCAGCTTCCTTAATTGTACTGATTAGACTCCTTTAAATAGACAGTCTGAAGAGGAATAAAATGAATTTTGTAAATGAGAGTCTATTAATTCTATCAATAGACTCTCTCTCTCTCTCTCTCATCTTTTTCATCTTTTGATTCCAACTCCTCAGCGTGCTCACAAGAAGATAATTTAAAATTCAACACTACCCAATATGACATTTTGTTTTTAGGGAAATTTGCAACCATACTTCACAATTCTTATGTATTTACTTATACCTAAAATTTCATATTTACATCTATAACACATTGGTGTCAAACTTTTTTGCATTAAAATGTTTGTTTTCCTTTTAAAAAGTCAGTTAAAGTGATATTTCTGATGTGTTATTAAAAATTTTAGTGTTACGTATATAAACATGAGAGTTTAGCTGTAAGATATGTAAATACATATGCATTTACAAAATAATTTAAGAATTGAGTGGTATGTATGTAAATCTTCAATAAATTAAATACATGTGCAAGAACAATAAAAAGCTAAAGATTTAAGGATATCAAGATATTTCACGATTTAGGCAATCCCGAAGTCACCCCGACCTGCAGTTTGCCTCACAAACTTCGTGTCTCTCCGTAATGAAGTACCCTACGCCTCAATCACACTCTTCATGGGTGACTACTAACAATCATATTCTCCATAACTCTGAAAACTCATTAACAAGATAGAATCATCAACCATGGACCTTCACATGTTTCTTTAATTTCATATTTACCCTAAACAAGATTTGATTTTGCAGACAAATATAGTTCGCATCATAAGCATACTAACCTAAATAACAAATTTCTCAAGGAAAGGGAACTATGAACATAAGTTTGCACCATTTCTTCACAAGAGACAAGATACCGGAGGCCTGCTGTCTGATTCCTTCCGGTAGGCATTGCAGTGACCTTTTTGTCCCCACCACTCCGAGCAAGGAGCAGCCACCTCGCATACATAACAAAAGCACTGCATCACAATTCCTCAGTTACAAAATGAATGTCATGAACAATTAAAAAAAAACTAGAGATAAAACACAAATTTAGATGACAAATCTACGACGATAAAATTAAGGGCAAAAGATAAGAAGATTTACTATTCTTCATGTCTCCCCAAATTCATTACCAATACATTTGATTCTCCAACACTAAATATTCCATACACAACCTGGCTCTTGATCGATCAAGATTTGAATAGTGCTCTATACTCAATCATCTCTCAGGCTATCCAACCATATACCCGTCATCTCCCCACTAACTCTGAAATCTGGAATACTATTGCAAATAGATTGCAACCCACCACCAAATTTCACATTCAGCTAAAAAATGAGCCACACTACCTATCTAGGAACAACCAATCTATGACTCAATATCTATTAACCATCAAAACCTTGGTAGATAATATTTCTACTACCAGTGGACAGCTAGATCAAAAGAATATTATCCTACATACACTTAATGGCTTACTAACAGGTTATCGAACATTTAAAACTGTAATTCACCCTTAGTTTCAGCTAATGGATCTAGATGACTTTTACTCTCTCCTATGCAACAAAGAGATTAATCTTGTAAATGACAATATGAAAATAAAACAAAATCCCAATACATAGTTGGCTCTCATAGCATCTAGTGGCCGTCCCATCAATTCTACAAGGGGTCATGATAGAACTCAACACTCCTTTACATCATGGGCTAGAGGAGGTAGTTCTCAATCCAAAACTTCAGAAATCTATCAAATATGTAATAAGTTTGGTCACCGAACTAAGTACTTAAGTGCACTATCAGAACCAGGATTTTATTCCTCCCAAATAAGCATTGCAAACTACCGCACCTACCCGGGTACTGGACTTTGGGAGCTACAACACACCTTTCTTTTAATTTCAACTAACTCTAGGTCGTTGAGCCAAGAGATGGCTCTGATTAGGTATTGATTAGCAGGGGAAGTACAATCGGTTCCAGTCAAACATACAGGAGAAAGTATTCTGCTTACACCCAATCGTAAAATTCTCCTCCCGAAAATCTAGCACGTATCATCCCTATCTCATAATCTCTTATCCGTGCATAAGCTCGTCTCTGATAACAATATTGAAATCCTCCTTGATCCTGCAGGCTTCCTGATCACATATGCGCCAAATCCTGCCTCGGAGCAACAGCTCTAAAGAGAATTGGTTATATCTGATTTACTCCATTCGCGGTTCCCGCCCAAGCTCTTGCTACCTCTAAACAGCTATGTACGACATGACACAAAGGTTTGTGTTTTATTAGAGGCTTTGTATGTATAATGGATAAATTGGTTATTTTTAGTTTTTATTAAGATGTCCTAATTCTCATTTATTTATAGGAGGGATTAGAGTTGATTTAGTGTGTGAAGTTGTAATCCAATTTCATCCGTCTTTTCTTTCTCCCCACATGTTGATAGTGGAAAGCGAATTTGTGTTGAACCATGCAAAATCACATTGTGTTGATTGTTTGTTTTTTGTGTGATTTTATTTTCAGCATTATTTTCCACAACAATTGATATCAGAGCCAGATTTGTACGATTACAGTAAAGGTTGCTATGGATCTATGTGATTCCTGCGACAAGCGGCTGAGATTCCAATGAAGTTGCGAACACGAGGTAAATAGATTGGATGAAGTTGAGTTAAAAGATCTGGAGTCATGAATAATAGCATGTGGTCAAGTACTTCAACATTCACCAAGGCCATAGAAAAGGCGTTCATTCATCAGCCAGTTACACATCTCATCAAGATCAATGTGATGAGATTTGACGGAAAAAAGAACTTTGGCATGTGGCAATACAAGATTTTAAATGTGATTCTCTTTCAATCAAGAGAAAGTTCTTAATAGCGATGAACATCTTGCAAAAATGTCAAAAAGAGATTGGCTGAAGATGAACCAGAGTGTTTGTGAGTCTGTGACTTGATCCAAAATTGTTTATCTCAAGAGATTAAATATGGAGTGATGATGAAGACTTCTACAGAAAAATTATGAAGGACACTCAAGAATAAATATCTCATGAAGAGCGTGGAGAATCGACTCCATATGAAACGTCCATAGGTTTCAAATGAGACATGGCGTTACTACTATTGATGAGCACTTCAATGATTTTACAAAGCTGTTAACAAATCTATTAAATCTGGATAACGAGGTTGAAGATGAAGACAAGACACTTCTGTCGAATTTGCTCTCAAACTAGTATGAAAAATTCACAATGACTCATTCATGAGATCTTGAATTATGGCGATGAGACTACAATGTTGTTGAACCATAAGTTTCGTCTAAGGGACAAGGAGTCTGCGAAGATTGCGTCAACTAAGAAACTTACACTCCAATTTGATAGATCTGAGAAGAAAAGAATTAGACAAGGAAGAATTGTGATGGAGATATTTCTCAAATGCAAGACAAATTTCGTAGAGACAATCTAAGAAAAAAATAATGTGTTTTTTCTTTATAGATTGATCATCGAAAGAAATATTGTCAAAATTGAAGGAGAAGGGTAAGCGACTTTCCTCTAAAGCGAAAAAACCAATCTTATTGAGGAGAGTTGTGAAGAGGCAGATTCTGATGTATTGTCAAAATGAACATGTAGTTCATAAGCATCGCCACCTTATTGAAAAAAAAAAAAAAAACACACTTATATATGATACCTCTCACACACTTATATATGATACCTAAAACACACTTATATATGATACCTCTCTTCTACTCAATTTTTGACACCGAGATGGATGACATATTTTGTTCCATGTTCACATTGTCATTTGCAAGGTAGATCTCATCGTTGCATAGGAGAGAGTAAAACTAGTCCAGATTCATTGGTTAAAGTTGAGTGTGAATTGTAGGTTGAATGCTTGATAATCTGCAGGAAAAATATTAAGTGTGTATAGATAAAATCATGTTAATCTAATTGTCCAACGAGAACAAAAATATTACTTACCAAGGTTTGTTAAATTGATAATATTGAATCATACATTAGTTGTTCATTAGGTGGTGCAGCTCGTTTTTGAGCTAAATAAGGTGGGATAGTTTATGGGTTACGATCACTTTGTAAAAGTGTTCCAAATTTCAGAGGTGGTGGGAGGGTAAAGGGCATATGGCAGAATAGCCTGAAAGATAATAGAGTATAAAGCAATGATCAAATTTTGATCGATCAGGAGACGAGTTTTGTATTGAATATTTAGTGTTGGAGAATGACTTGTATTGGTAATGAATTTGGGAGCAAATCGGGTGTTGCCATCTAGGAACCCTAAGAAATCATCGGCAAAAAAAATTTTAGAATCTAAACTCTTTAAATATGATAAATATCAGCTACTGGTTATATTTGAGAAAGGTATTTTATGTTGATCATAAGAAATTTGAGTGAGAGAGGAATAATTGTGATTTACATTGGTTCTCAGAGGAATATCCTTATGTGCTAGAAGTCTGACAGTAGGCCATTACTGAAGGAAAGACTTCATGAAGATGGAGCAGGCTGCCAAGATGACTAACCTAAATGGTGTTGGGATGGAGGCTTGAGATTTTTTGATTGATTTACAACCAAAACCACACCGCGGAAAATACCCCAATTCGAGAGATCCAAAACAATAAAGTAAACAAAAGAACACAAGAAAATCTAGAAAAAAACACAAATATTTAATATGGAAAAGCGTGAGAAATGGAAAAAATCACGAAACAGATAACAATTCACGCTTCTTCCTCTCTTGATCTCACTAGAGATAGTACTCGCCCAAATCCACCATCTCGACACAGACGCCGCTACACACCAATTACGCACTGTCGAAAATACACCGCAAGAGAGTGTAGTAATCATTCATGAAACAAGGGCTTAAATCCCTAAATGCATACAAACTGTTCAAGAAGTCGAGACGCCGCTCCCAAGCATCGCCTTTCCACTCGCTTGGGTTGAAGTCATGAACATGGGCACTATCGTGCCTTGAAATGTGTGCATGGTCACCGCCCTCTCTGGATCCAAGCACGGGGGAGCCCAAAATTGGCATCTAGGCGCCACCCTCTCTGGTTCCAAGCACCTGGTTGCCCCTAAGGTGAGCGCCCCCTTAGGCAGTAGTGTTGTTGTTGGCTTCGTGCAGGCTGCAACTGCTATGCAAACAGGTTCCACATTGAACAATCTCTCACTTGGAGACTGATTGTGCATCAACATCTCTCCTTCATATCTGCATCTTCATATATATCATCTTCATAGTGTCGTACTGTGGCTCACCTCCAGTCTCAACCATCCTGAACTCCAACTGAAGCTATGCTTACCTTGAGTTTCTCAAAAATCGCTACCTTAGTCAACATATCCGAAAGATTCTGAGCTATCTGCATCTTCTCTAAGAAAATTGCCCATCTTTTAGGAAAGTACAAATAAAGTGATATATCGACTGAATATAATGTCATAGCATGAAAAGCGGCATTTCTTAGTCAGATGAATAACACTCTTACTGTCACCATGAAGTTTTTCAATCATCTACTCCTTGAACAGTTCCATCATAAAGCTCTATAGCTAAATCATCTCCTTGTCGGGCTTAGTTATAGCAATGTATACGGCTTCCATAGTTAAAAGTGCAATAATCTTCTACAACTAGAAAACCCAACTCATCGTTGTGTTCCCCAAAGTGAAGATATACTCAACTTTACACATACCATCTATATCCTCTACCAGATCTAAATTTATATAGCGTTGTAGATCAATCCCTGCCCTGTTGATTGTTCCCCTCAAATATCTGATAAACCACTTCACCACCTCCAAATTATGCTTGTCTGGATTGCCTGTGTACCTGCTAACCATTTTCACTATAGGTGCAATATCTGATCTTGTATATAATAAAGCATCCATCAAACTTTCAGCTGCTAAAGCATATGGAGTTCTCCCCATTTATGCTTGCTATGGTTCAAACTTAAATAATAGATTCATAGATAGCATTAAATGATTACATAAATGGGTGCAAACTGATTTTGACTTACTAATGT